TTCCAGGCTAAGCATAAAAAGTTCAAAGTATATGAATATATTAAAATATTACATATAAACAAAGGGAGCATATATTAAGCTTATATATACCACATTTTTCCTCTCCCTTTATCTTCAGGCTGACCTGGCCGTCTATAACTTTAAAACCTAAAATTCAATGAAATTTACCCATATATCAATAAACAAATCAAAATTATTTACCCTGATCCCTGCAATACATTTGCCAAACAGTACTTACAACTATTCATACAAGCAAAACACATTAAAATTGAATTAAAACATAAATCCTCTGATATTAAACTTTAACCTAAAGCAAATTAGACCACAACATCACAAAACAAAGTGGGATATCCTTCAAACTCAATACACCATATATTAAAATATCCCTTTAAGAAAACTAAAATATACAACATGAAATCAAGCCCTTTAGAGAAATATAAAAACATGCACAATATATATATATATATATATGTGTGTGTGTGTGCAACATATATTTCACATATAACAAAATAAATCAACAGTGATAATGGAAATGATACTTATACATGTTTTTGTAAAGTATATACAAAAATATCTAAATACTTATGCTTTGCTATATTTATAGTATTTAAAAATTAAGAAAATGCAAAAGAAAATACTGAATAAATCATATTACACATATATATATATATATCAGAAGTCCTGAAAACAGATCGTCCATTGCAATGGTCAATTTTCAGAGAACCATGGTCATCTGGTGAACAATTCCTTGCAGCCTGAAGATGGTGCACCTTTTCCTTCAGCTGTGAAGGAGGATACTTATGCTTCAGAAGGCAGTATTCCACTATGTTATAAATACCCAGGCCTCTGTTCACTGAGCTGCTTCTTCTTGGCAGGAGCTCCACCTTACATAATTTCAGTAGCTGTGTCCATGATACTGCAATGGATAATCTGGACACTCTCACACTGATCAGAAGTCATCACTAAGTATGATGTTTTTGTCAAAGTTGGATCTTCCTTGTGCTTGGAGGAACTCTGAGATGACCCAAGTCCCAGAAAGATTCTTTTTGGTTTACGAATGTGGTGTTCACAGCACAGGTAGATAAACATTGGGTGTTGGTGATGCTTCTCCACCTGGTGCCCACCATTAGGGCACTTCTGTATTTGCAAACAAATCCCTGCTGATTTTGTTAACTGTAGCTTTACTGGGGTCTCTTGAGTAGACCTCCTTGGCATGGCTGCTCGTAGACTGGGCTCAACTGGAGATAGGTAGCTGGATGACAGAGTGGCCTTTATAGATGTTTCCAAAGTCATCAAAGCAGCAGTCTGATCCTAGTGTTCTTTGGCACTCAGTCCCCTGGAGACTTCAGGGCAAGTCCTAGTCCATCCATGGCTTTAGTCAGAGCCCACATGTCATTCAGCCAGCAACTCATCTTTATCCATTGGCTTCAACTCTAGCTGACTAAAAGTAACTCCCAGAGCATTCATTCTCCATGTTAAGCTAGTGGCTTTTTGGGACCGGCAAAGACACAAACGAAAACTTTTACACAAAGGCTATTTCCAATCAAGGCAGCTAGAAGGGCTAAAAACTTGATGTTAAATAGCAAAAGAAATGTAAGAAAATTGAATTTTGATTGGTCAAATCTTTAGTTACAGGTTGTAATGGCCAAGTTCCAAAAATCTCCTGTTTTAAACTGTCTCTTAGAAATAGTGAAAATTATAGCCATGGTAAAGTGGCTCTTCTACAGGCTCACGTGTATTTTGGCAGTAGAAGATATATCCCTTTCACCTGTAGATATCCCGGTCTCCCAAGCTTCATTAGGTCACATGCTTAATCTAAGTCCAACTGTGCTCTCCACTGTTTTCATTGTCATGACAACAGCACAAAGCTGTCCTGGAACCCAGTCAAATTCCTTTCACTACTGTCTGTTTGTTATGCAAACAGAGCCCCATTTTAGCAGGAAAGAAATGAGGAATGAGACTGCAAACTCTAGAACCTACTTGAGTAACCAAAATAGGTCAACCATCATGCGGCACTAACATCATTCTTCTGAATATAGAGATTCATTAATGCTGACATTTCATTTCCTCTTAGATTTCCTTTCAGATACATAGAATTATTATGTGGAACTCGTCTCAGCATGGAGAGAGAGAGAGAATCTGTGTGATATCTGGTTGCCAACATCCAGCAGACTATACCTGGTTGGATGGACATTTTGTTATACATAGTCTAGTGGCAGAGATTTTTATGATTTCTTGCAAACCCTCCATCACTCCAATTGGTGTGTGCGATGCTTGCAACAATTATATCATCAACATATGTATATGGTATTACTCCAAGGGCCTTCAAATGCATTGATCAGATCAGCTGTGTATACATTATGAAGACAGTATTCAACAGAGATCTTTGTAGCAAGCCAGGGTTGATTACAAAGATTTATGATCTCCATTTGCCAAATTTCAAGTGAAAGAGTCTAGTGTAGCCAACATCTATCATATGAGAATGTGTGAGACTCCCAGAGCTTTAGCTTCACTGCCAAAATCCTCTCAACTGTAAGCATCTTCAAGGTCAAACAGCCTAACATTGTTTTCTGCAATACACTGCTGAAAGTTCTGTGTCTGATTCAACATTTGAGGGTGTGGGTTTCTTCAGTTTTGCCTCTCCCACTTTGGTAGATCGACAATCTCTCACCACCAGGTCTTATTCAATTCTTCTTTGCTGCTACCTTTTCCATTTGTCTTACTCATACATTTGATATTATTACTAGTGTGTAGCCCTTCAGTATTTGATGGTCTTTGAATGGTTTGATCAACACTGACATTGAGCAGTCTCTAAGGTCTTTCTTTGTTTTCCCCTCCATCAGTGACAAATTTATTATTTCAGATAGCTCTGCTTTCTTTTCAGTAGAGTTTTATTTTGACATATCTCACACCATTAGGCTTAATACAGAATCCTTCTTTGTTACTCAAATAATTCTCTCTAATTCACTCTACATAACTGGTGTTTCTGCCTAAGGGTCAGTCTTGTTGAATTCTGTCATTCATTTCCTACCTGGCCAGTTTCACAGAAGCCTAACCATTTTCTATTAGTATATATCTCTTCAGTATGTGATTATTTCTGAAGGGTTTGTGTCAACATTGCCATTGAGCAATCTCTGATATATTTCTTTGTTTACTCTCCATCATTGACAAATTCATTATTTCAGCTAACTTTGCTTTCTCTTCTGTGAAGAGTTTTGATATTGGAGTATCTCACATCATCTGGGCCTAATGCAGGATCCCTTTTTGTTGCTTTAACAATTCTCTAGAATTAATCCAGTGTTGAATTTCTATTACTTTCTACCAAGCCCAATTAACAAAGGCCTGCACATTTTCATGTAGGTGATTCCTAAATATCTGCTTAATCTCACTTTTAGTTTCAGCCTCAGTGTATGCTTTACTAGCTTCAACCTTCACTTTCCAGACTTACAATATTTTTGCTGTCTTCCAATTAGGTTTATTTTGACTATCACATTTACTTATTTACTTTTCTGACTCATTTATTTAATATCTAACTGCCCTTTTGCATTTACTCATGATGAGTTTGTATCCTGTTCAATACTGGAAGCATGTTGTCCTCATGAGTTTTTAAGACAGCTCTTTCTTGACCACATGGATGAGTATGAATGAGTTTGTGGTCACTGCCAAAGCAATAGTTTCCATTTTAACTCCAAGAATGCAGTAGGTGTAACATGGGTTAGGTCTTTGGCTGAGTGGGAGTCTCACTCTCTTTCTGCTACTCTTGTGGAGGCATCATTATTGGTTCTATACAGTTCACGTTTTGCAGTGCGTTCTGCCAAACTTGGCTCCAGACATTAAAGTCACCTGTAATAATGACTCTTGTGCCCATATTCATGAGAAGATTCAGCAAATATAATGACACTGAGTATATAGAAGTTGACTAAGACGTATTCCTTGCCAATGATCTCCAGGCCAACAGCCAGAGTCAATATGTTTCTAGAAATGAGTACTTCGCAGCATTTAATGATAGCATTTACAAAAATTAGAAGTATTCTTTTGAGATTTTACTCCACAACTAATGGCTCAAAACATATGTTGATGTCTCTGCCATATGATGGTTTCTCCTGTAGCTTTTTCTTGCACCATTACAACATTTTTCTCATCTAATAGCTTCCCATGGTTACTCTTCTCATTTTGTGACTATGGCTACTCCAAGATATAATCCAAAGACATTCATATTCATCCTTTCCCTTTTACACCTCTTCTAAGTGTGTAACTTGAGGCATGTTTGTAAATGCAAACTAGATGTTTTCAGCAACAGTTACAGGCAAACGATTACACGGTTCTCTAAGGATTGCTTAGTTCTGATTCTCTTCTGATAAAATATACATAATTTTTATCTAAATAGACAAAAATAAAACATTGTTCAAAACCTACCTTAAAGTCAAATTTCGTAACATATTTATTTGTTCATTCTCCAGTTAATGATAAGAATGTTTAAGATAAATACTGATCAGTACATAACACTACACAACAAACATGCTCTCTCAAGGAATGGTCCTTGAATACACATTTTCTGAATGACTAGTAGTTTTGAAATAAAAAAGAAAAACCATGATCACCTAGTGATTTTAAAAAAACGTGGCCTTATTTTATTAAGGCCATTAAATTTGTAATTTTACATTGTTTTTAAAACTCTACACCATTTTTAATCTGAAATTAACAACACACACACATTTATTTACTTAAGGTCTGTATATTATATAAAACATTACATACAAATTTGCCAGCAGGTATTATTATTGAAACAGTAATAGTAAACACTTTCAGACTTTGATTTAACTTGTAAATTTGTGTATATTTACTTGAGGTTTAAATACCTATAAATAAAAAAGTATTTAAAAGATCTCAGTTTTAAATTTTTAATGATTGATGTAATTATCATTTAGTCACCAAAATATAATCAATTATGAAGTGGTCAAATTTGATTTGATCTAAAAAAAACTGAAAATAAAAACACATCGATACTATCATTTATTTTTCAAATACATTATTTCTACATATTTACTATTTATTTAGTGAGAAATAAATCCATAGCAATATTTTTATGCATACAAAACCTGAGTTCTCTGTTGCAAATGCATGTTATTTATTACAATAGAAACCAAAGTTGAAAAGTAGGAAAAACTTTGTATCTTAGAAAAAAACCATAAATTCTGTACCAAATATCAGTTGTACAGAGCTGTTCCTAGATATTAAAAAAAATAAATAGGTTCTCCATCATTTTATGAAATCACACTCAGATACTGTAAGTATGATCTATTGGTAATTTCACATAAAATGGGGCATGGTACAATTATGAAGAAAATATATTGGTTTAGATTATTCCTAATAAATTATAATAATTTGCACTGAAATAAGAAAAATATGTTCTTATGTCTTATATATTTATATGAAATGTTGACTGAATCAGTAAGTTGTTAATTATAAGATTGAACTCAGGTATAAAGAGAAGTTTCACACTGAACACCTTTAATATTTGATTTTTGTTACAACAATTAAAATTTACACACAAAAAACTGAGACTCCTGTTTCATTAAGACTAAAATTCTTAATAGTTTTTAAATTATGTGATTTTCTTTGGTTTTTTTATGTAACAAATCTTAAATGCTATAATATGCATACATTAAGCAAATCATGGTTGAAAAACACCAGTTTTGAAAGTATTTTAAAAGAGCAAATGTATATGTACAAGAAAAATTAGACCATTAGGTCTTAACAACTGGGTAATTATTTGCATCTCAAATAAATGAAAGTGATTGAAATTTAGTAGTAGAAAATATTCATGTCTATGACTCACTACTTCTGAATGTCAAACAGTGAAAAATACGTTAACAATAATATTTAAAACATTAATATTTATTACATCCTAAATTAGAAAATGTTAATTTTATTTTTCCTTATTGTATTGGAATATCACGGTCAGTTATACTATGTATTCCTGATACTACAATTATTATTATTATCATACAATGTTCCAAACCATGCAGAGTCAGAAAAACTGTTTAATTTTGCATTTCAATACCATTTGTTACACTTAAGTTTGACTAAACCTAATTAGCTTGACTAAATCACCTATGGTTCAAGCTCAAGTGTAAAAGTAACACTGAATCGCTGATGAGGATTGAAATTTAAATGGTAAAACTTTCACCACAGCCACATGTTCCTTTAATATTCGGATTGTTAAACACAAATTCACTAGATAATTTTGATTCTATATAATCCATCTCTGTCCCGAGAAGCGTAAGTTGTGCTTTGGCGTCGATCAACACTCGTACTCCATCTTGAACAACTTCTTCATCAAATTTTCCTTTTTGTTTTGCGAAATCCAAGGTATAACTTAGACCATTACAGCCTCTTTGTTTCACACCAATCTTCAAACCTATTGCATCTGGTTTACTATGCAGCAGATGTTTTACACGGCTTACAGCAGACTGGGTTAAAATTAAAGCGACTCTTTGTGGGATTTGTTTTTTCTTTACAACTGCTCGAACAGTTGCCGACATAGGAGCAGACATCTTGGACTTAAAATACCTATTACGTAAGTTGTAGTTAAAGACTTTACCAATAGATGGCAAAATATTAAATTAAATTTAGAAAATAGAAAAGTCAATTACGAACAGTAGGATCTCACATAATTAAAAAACACGCCAGTAGAACAAATTATTTTAAAATATGAAATTAAAAAGATATAAAACAAATAAGTAAAATAATCTGAAGAATAATGAAAAACATTGGTATGCCTATGATATATATATAAAACGATAAAAACCTTATAACCTGGACTCTTTTGAAAGGTGAACCTTTCTTCTCCACGGGTAAAGTAGAATAGATATAGATATACTAGCGTATAGACCGTCAAACGTACTACTACCCCCACTCAATAGTATACCCTAACCTCACATTTCATAGCTAACTGAAGTAAATAAATTTTGCGAAATCATGCTTGATCAACAAAGAGTCAGAAAAGTGCAGTCGAGGCAGTCAAACGTCGGTAAATTCCTTTGTGAGGCTTTAATAACTCTCCTATTTTGAGAGATCAAGCGTAATATGACACAGAATGGCTTTTATATAGGTTAGATATATTGTAAATCCGTTTGTAACATAAATGATAGAGACCTATCTAGTTTTATTTTACAACAGTCACTGATATTAATCCATTTTAAAAATACAGTAAGTTTGTAAGTATGTCTCAAATAGTCATTTAAAAATTAACATAAAACTGTCAGTTAGATAAAATACTACCATGGTACAAAAGTTTTATCCTTAGGTTGATATAAATCTGTAAACATAGACCTAACGATAGATACTTATTACTGTCGTAATAAAGGTTTAAGAAACAATTAATATATTGTGAAATTTTAGTGGCTAAGTAGGGTTTGAGATACAGAATGTGTGTTATAGGATATTTAAGGACAAGAGCAACTGTCTTATTTACGAATTTCAAATGTAAACAGCCGTGAAATATTTGTTAAATTGAAATGATTGATAAACACACCGTCTAAAAGACGAAAATATAACAACCCGACATTTCTACCTTCAACGGAAGTATTTTTCAAGAGTCTGATTCATCCACCTCTGCACCATTTATCGGTTTTGTCTCTAGTGCTTGGTAAAGGCCTATTATATACCCACGCAAGTGCATGTCGGCTTGCATACTATATTACCAAATATAGACTTAATCTAGCAATATGCCACCTTTCTAAAACTCCCGTATGTATCATATGGCTTGTTCAATATCCAGTATATTTTATCATTTTTCCAATCTATAGAATAATCTTTTAATGATATGTGTTCAGCCAAAGCAGTTTTTTTTCTTCTTTTTTTTTCGTTTCTTATTGCGTGTTGATGTTCGCCAATTCTTACTTTTACCGATCATCCACTTTCTTCAACACACTTATTGTCATTATCTTTACACTTTATTTGGTATATTGAACGAGACTTTTCCAAAGATCTCTTTTATCTTTCGAGATGTATCGACAACTGCTTAAAGAGACGAACATGGTTTAAAAATACAACAACTAATATTAGCTGAGGTAAACATTCTAGTAAGCCTTTCGCTTACTCCTTGTAATTTCTTGGAGTTGACTTTGGTTTGGGTATTTCAATTAAAATTAAAAGGAAACCCCTGAAAATAGCCGTTTTGTTTTAATATTTATTTAATCTAACTTAGTTAATTAAGTTTTTATAGATTTATTGTAAACAGTAATTGATGTCTAATATTTTTGAGATTTTGGATGATGGAAGATAACATAGGAGTGCTCTTTTTATATATGTAGGTTTACGGAATACATTCATAATACATGCAACTCCTAGTATGGGTTCGAGAGACGAAAAAAAAATTTGAAAAAAGTTAAAGAATTATTCTGCTCTCTTTCCAAAGGAAACTAACAAATTTATTTTTAGTATTTAAATATATAAAAAAAAACTGCAATGTCTGTGTTATCATTGACACAAAAAATATTATCGATATACCTTCGATAAATTTAATAGGGCTTGGTCAAGATTTTATAGCTACATTTTCTAGATGTTCCAGGATCACACTTGCAACCTGTACAGATAGAGATGATCTCATGACAACTCCATGGAATTGTCTGTAAGTATAACCTTTGCATGCAAAAACAACACAATTGCCCCCCAGTAGTACAGCGGTATGTCTGCGGACTTACAACACTAGAAACCGGGTTT